CCTCCCAGTCTAGATAGCGAGACGGTTTTGGGAACCAGTGTGGACACTGTCCACTTATCTTGCTAGCACGGCGTGCCCTCCCTTGTATTCCCCTGCAGATCTGCCCCGTCCACCCCTGCCCCATTTGGCACGTGTCCCTCCAAAGCTGCTTTTGCCCCAACACACCCTGCAAACAACCCCGGCAGGGACCAGCACCACTCCAGAGTGACTCCTGCTCTGGGAAGAGGGGAAGATAACCGCACACACTGGTGCGTACACAGTTCCTCATAGTGGGCAGCACAGGGAGTGTCCCGGTGATCAGTGTGATTATGGCCCCAGCACGCAGACGGGGGGCAGGCAGCTGGATTGACTGCTGACTCTGCCCAACGACAAGCCTGCAGCATCCCTTGCTAGGTCCCTGGCGCCAGCTGCTGGGGCGGGTCAGCCAGCCCCTGTGTTGTGGAGGAGGCTCCCAATGACAATTGGCCAGGGCCTTTGCAAACAAGCCTGGCCAGACGAGTTCAACATTTACACCCACTACTTTAGTGAGGGCATTGATCTTATCCTCTGGGACTATCACTCTATGGTTGTGCAGGATGAGGGCCGAGCAGATGCAGGTGAGCTCAGAGATGGAGGCCATGGTGCGGGCGGCTGCTGAGTGGGCACTGCTGGGTGCGGAGCTAGTTGCTGGATGGAATGAGCTTCACCCCAACGCAAGCTTCCTTGAAAAGACCAAGCACCTTAGTGGAAGCTGAAGAAAGCCAGAGTTTTCACTAATGACACATGTAGATATGTAGAAACGAACAGAAGGTTTGGCTTATTTTTATTACCTAGGCAAAGTTCACTACTAGAAATTCATCTTTTTTAAAAAATTTTTAATTTTATTTTAGAGAGAGAGCAAGCGGGGGAGGGGGACAGAGGGAGAGAGAATCTTTTTTTTTCCTTTTATAGTTTATTGTCAAGTTGGTTTCCATACAACACCCAGTACTCATCCCACAAGTGCCCTCCTCCATGCCCATCATCCCCCCCCCCCCCTCCCCCACCCCCATCAGCCCTCAGTTTGTTCTCAGTATTCAAGAGTCTCATGGTTTGCCTCCCTCCCTCTCCTCAACTATTTTCTCCCCTTCCCCTCCCCCATGGTCCTCTGTTAAGTTTCTCCTGTTCCACATATGAGTAAAACATATGGTATCTGTCCTTCTCTGCCTGACTTATTTAGCTCAGCATAACACCCTCTGTTCCATCCACGTTGCTACAAATAGCCAGATTTCATTCTTTCTCTTTGCCATGTAGTATTTCATTGTATAGATAAACCACTTCTTCTTGATCCATTCGTCAGTCGATGGACATGTAGACTCTTTCCATGATTTGGCTATTGTTGAAAGTGCTGCTATGAACATTGGGGTACTTGTGCTCCTATGCATTAGCACTCTTGTATTTCTTTGGTAAATTCCTAGCAGTGCTATTGCTGGGTCATAGGGGAGTTCTGTTAATTTTTTGAGGAACCTCCACACTGTTTGCCAGAGGGGCTGCACCAGTTTACATTCCCACCAACAGTGTAGGAGGGTGCCCGTTTCTCCACATCCTCGCCAGCATCTATAGACTCCCGATTTGTTCATTTTAGCCGCTCTGACTAGTGTGAGGTGGTATCTCAGTGTGGTTTTGATTAGAGGGAGAGATAATCTTTTTTTTTTAATTAAAAAAAAGTTTTATTTGTTTCTGAGAGACAGAGACAGCATGAGCAAGGGAGGGTCAGGGAGAGAGGGACACATAGAATCTGAAACAGGCTCCAGGCTCTGAGCTGGCTGTCAGCACAGAGCCTGACGTGGGGCTTGAACCAACGAACCACGAGATCATGACCTGAGCCAAAGTTGGACGCTCAATTGACTGAGCCATTCAGGTGCCCCAGAAATCCATCTTTAATATATGTATCTATTATATTAGTTAGCTTGCCACATATCAGTGTTGACACTAACTTGGATAACTGCAGTGCTCTCTTGTTCATAAAATTATAATTTTTTGAATACGTACATTCAAATTATTTGTTGTTTACACACTCAAAATTCGTATTTTAGTAATTAGTCCTTGATCAGACAATTTGTAGTGTTAAAGCTCCAGAGCCAGTGTCCTTATCCGTGATGTAACAGGTAACAGTTTGATTTGGGGTAGCAGAAGGACCAGGGTATCAGCAGAAGCAATGAGGTGAGTCTGAGAGGCCTTGGAACAGTAACTCTTAGGTTATTGTGAAGGCTCCTTTAAGACCAGTTATAGGAAGGAATGTATGTTACGGACTACCCACAATGTCTCACAAACCAGAGCTGTAGCCCCTAGATGGGGAAGAGAATTACAGGGTGGTGGATAACGTATTATTTCTGGGGCCCTAGGCTTAGGTACACCTAAGCCTGGTACTCCATTTACCAGTCATGTGGTTCTTGGGGAAATTGCTTAAAGTAATTCACTGTGTTTCCTCAGCGGTAAGATAGAAGTGATAATCTTAGGGTGCAAATGTGAAGTGCATAGTGACCGGTGCATAATAGGTGCTCTGTAAATGTTCAGTTTAATTGTTGACATAATTATTTGAAAATTGAGAATCATCGAAACCACACAAAAAGCATCACCTCCATTCCTTACATCTCTACATTATGGAGATAGAGATAAATACAGGTCATAAGCATCCACATACTTAGAGATTCACTTCTAACTATATGTAAATCTGGTAAACTATGAGGAGTCATAATTTAATTCCCTTATCAGATAATTAAATTGGTAAGATTCTTTCTGGGGAAGAATGGGAAAAATAAAGATCACTGAAAAGAAAAATATTCATAAATGTTTAGATGTCTTAGCTTAAATAGTTTTTAATTACACTTTTTATTATAAAGGAACATTTTATAGAAATAGCCCCCATTTATTTTTAAGAATTGCTGATGGTGGGGTGCCTGGGTGGCTCAGTCAGTTAAGTGCCTTGACTCTTGATTTTGGCTCAGGTCCTGATCTCGCAGTTTTTGAGTTCGAGCCTCGTGTTGGGCTCTGTGCTGATGATGTGGAGCCTTCTTAGGATTCTCTCTCTTAAAATAAATAAATAAACTTTTAAAAAGTCGCTGAAGGGAGATCTCCTTTATTAGGCTTCTGTGATGTGCAGGGCAATGTGCTGGTGAAGTGTAGTGACAGGGAAGACACACATGGTCTCTGATCTCATGAACTGATGGGGCTGCCTCTCCTAGGGTGCTGCTTCTGAGTTACACAAGTGTCTTCACATAATGGCAGAAGATAAAGTTGTAGATAAATATATCGCCACATATGGGAGAATCCTCAGTTACGCCCTTGATGAAAACATTTGGTCACACATTTGGTTCCACACCAGGATCAAATTTAAACACGGAAGAATGAACTTTAGGGGCGCCTGGGTGGCTTAGTCGGTTAAATATCCGACTTCAGCGCAGTCATGATCTTGTGGTTCACGAGTTTGAGCCTCACGTCAGCCTCTGTACTGTCACCTCAGAGCCTGGATCCTGCTTTAGATTCTGTATCTCCCTCTTTCTCTGCCCCTTCCCTGCTCTCACTCTCTCTTTCTCAAAGATCAAATAAGAAATTAAAAAAAATTGAAAATAATAATGAACTTTAGGGATACTTGTCAGAGAGCAGAGCTGCCATTTTGTCACAGAATGTTCTGAAAAGGCTGTGGGTACAAGTTTACTTGTTTATTCCCCCTCCTATATGGTGTTTGTGCTCTCAGGCAATTTCATTGGAGTGCAAAACAGTTCAGTGGGTGAAGCCCACCACTGGAGAAGCATGATCCTTTGACCCAGTTAAAATATATGCAGTATATAAGAAAGGACTGTATATAGTCAGCATTTGAGGTGGTAATGTCTATAAAAGTGTGCATTACAAATAAAGGAAAACAGAATCAAGAGTTTGCCTCCCCCCAAAAGAGTAATTCAGTAAGAAGATGAGATGGTATTGGCAGAATCAGAATTCAGTAAAGATGATAATACCAAATAGGAATCACTCCAGGTAAGAATGGATTCTTATTTATCTATGGAATTGACTGTCAATTTCTCACTTTGGTCTCCACAGACCAGCTGTTATCTTCCTATTTATCTTTCAGGTCTTGTCTTTGATTACTCATGCTATTGTTAAACTGGACCAGCTGGCCTCTGTGCTTTTGCTCTTGCTGGTTCCTCTACCTGGAACACCTTCCCTGTTTGCTGTTCACTGACACTCGCCAAAGCTGTGTCTACCCTTGCCGGCAACTTAATTCCGCCTCTTCCCCCCTGTTTTCTGAGCCCATGGAATATGCATCACCTTTGACCCAGAACTCTATTATACACTTTAGTTGTATCCTTGCCTTGTGGTTATTTGTGTACTTATCACCTCCGCTGGGACTGCAAACGGGGATTCTCTTTGTACCCTAGTGCCCAACATGGAGATTGCATAGTAGGAACTAAAGAGTAAAAAGGATTTGCTAAAGGAAGATATCTTTGCATCTCAGATACAACAGATTCCCAGTCCCAGTGTTAACTGGGACAAGAAAAACATAGCTGTAAAAGATGGAATATAAGAAGGGCGCCTGGATGGCTCAGTCGACTAAGCGTCTGACTTTAGCTCAAGTCATGATCTCATGGCTTGTGGTTTGGAGACTTGTGTCGGGCTCTGTGCTGACAGCTCAGAGCCTGGAGCCCATTTTCGACTCTGTGTCTCCCTCTCTCTCCTCTGCCTCTCCCCTGCTCTTTCTCTGTTGCTGTCTCTCAAAAATAAATAAATGTTAAAAATTTTTTTAAAAAGATGGAAGATAAGCATAATATATATCTTAGAATCATGACAAGCAGAGGTATAAATGGGTGACATGGTTTAAGATTAAATTAAGACGAAAAAGCCTTACTGTCTGCAGAATACATGATGACGAATCTCAACAGCTGACATCTCTAAGCCGTGTAAAGTGGACTTTTAGTTACCTGTTTACTAAATTGTTAGGAAAAAATCACTTGGAAATTAAAAAAAGAACTTTTCTTTTTTCCCCCCAGGGCCAGTTCTGTGACTATTGCAATTCTGAGGACCCCAGGAAAGCACATCCAGTCACCAATGCGATTGATGGATCTGAGCGTTGGTGGCAAAGCCCTCCTCTCTCCTCAGGCACACAGTACAACAAAGTCAATGTCACCTTGGATCTAGGGCAGGTAAGCTACGCTTCCAACTGGAATGGGGAAAGTTAGTTTGGGTCATTGTTTCTGTTGTGATTTCTGATATAATAGAAATTGTATTAAAAATGTACATCAGTTTTAAGTGGTTAATCATTGTGAAGACTGTTATGTGAATACTTGCATCCCAGCCTGTCATGATGCAGATACCCAGACCTGTCTATCAAAAGAGTTAAGAACAGTAAAAAGTAGTTTTATTGGCAAAGATATTGATTATTATTATTTTTGATTATGGTAAAATTCACACAATATAAAATGTGCCATCTTAGACATTTTTTAATGTTTATTCATTTTTTGAGAGAGAGAGAGAGAGAGAGAGACAGACAGAGCACGATCAGGGGAGGGGCAGAGAGAGAGGGAGACACAGAATCCGAAGCAGGCTCCAGGCTCTGAGCCATCAGCACAGAGCCTGACGCGAGGCTCAAACTCTTGAATCATGAGATCATGACCTGAGCCGAATTTGGATGCTTAACCGACTGAGCCACCGGGTGCCCCATCTTAGACATTTTTTAAGTGTACAGTTCAGTTGTGTTAAATTCACATTGCTGTGCAACCCGTCACCAGAACTTTTTTCATCTTGCAAAACCAGCACTCTGTACCCATAAACCACAACTCCCTATTCTCCTTTTCCCCTAGTACCTGGCAACCACCATTTTCCTTTCTCTCTGTGTGAATTTAGCAACCCTGGGTACCTCATGTAAGTGGAATCCTACAGTATTTGTCCTTTGTGACTGGCTTATTTCACTTAGCATAATGTCACCAAGGTTGATCTGTACTGTAGCAGCTGGCAGAGTTTCCTTCCTTTTCAGGATTGAGTAATATTCTACTGCATGTGGGCACCACATTTTTTTATACATTCATCTGTCCACGGACACTTGAGTTGCACCCACCTTTTTGCCATTGTGAGTAATGCTGCTATGAACATGGGCACAGCTAAGATATTTTTATAGCATTTCCCAGAAATCCAGGTTCTGTGAACACTGACTACCATAGTTTTTGGCTCTGTTTGGCCAGCTGGTCCATGAGAAAACCTGACTTCAGTCTTCCTCTCCAGTGGTATGCTAAGATGTCCCCAAGGATGCCTTCCTCTTGGCGCATGTGCCCAGTGTAATTACCTCTCTTTTGAGTGTGGCAGACTATGATGGAATTCACTCCTGTGGTAAGGTGGCATTATATGACCAAATAAAGGGATTTGCACATATGTTCAAGGTTCCAAGTCAGCTGATCAAAAGGGAGGTTATCTTGGAGGATTTCTCCTAATCAGGGGAGCTCCTAAAAGGGACTACTGGGCACTACCCGAAGGAAGAGACGTGAAACATGAGAAAATTTCCTGCTGACCTTGAAGGGGAAAACTGCATGTTGTAAACTACCTGTGGAGAGGGCCACGTGGCAAGGCCCTAAGAATGGGTTCCAGAAGCTGAGAGCAGCCGCAGGCAACTGCCAGGAAAAAAGCGGGAACCTCAATCCTACGACCATAAGAAACTGGATTCTGCCAACAACATGTGCAAACTTGGAAGTATCTTTCCAGGCATCTGGTGAATGCCTTGATTGCAGCCAACACGCCCAGACTCTTGAAATACAGAGCTAAAAGTAAGTGGCTTTGGTTTAAGCCACTACATTTGTGTTCATTTGTTAAGCAGCAATAGAAAAACCGATGCACCTTCTTCTTTCATCTTTCATACGAGGGAGTGCCTCCTATTTTTTCCACTCTGTTCCATCAACAAATATTTATGTCAGGCCCTGTTCTAGGTATTTGTGCTCCATAAAAGAACAAAAGAGATGGAGGTTCATTTCCTCATATAACACACTGACATTCAGTTGTGGGAGACAGCCAACAAAAATATACATCAGTAAATATGTTAGAAGCCGATAAGAGCCTTGGAAAAAGTGAAAAAGTAGATCAGGGTAAAAAGGTCTTGCAGTTTTAATTAGGATGTTCAGGAGAGAGCTTGTTGAACAAAGATTGGAAGCAGGTGAAGGCATTCACCATGTAGCTATCTGTCACCCAGAAAAGGGAATAGCCCTGCAAAGTCCCTAAGGTAGGAGCTTGTCTGGAAGGTATCAGGTCAGACAGCATGGAGGTCAGGGTGACTGGAGTAGAGTCAGGGAGGGGAAAGTGGTGAGAGAAAATGCCAGAAAGAGAACACACAGGGCCGGATCAAATAGGGCCTCTAGGCCACAATAAGGCCTTGGACTCTTCATGTGACATGAGAGCCATCACAGAGTTTCAAGCAGAGGAATGATCTAATTTGATTTATATTTTAAAATGATGTCCATGTCTATTCTATTAAGGATTACCAGGGGGCAAGGGTAGAAGCCAGTTAAGAGAGTGTCCTCATAATCCACAAGAAAGATGCCAGTAGTGGCAGTGAAAGTAGGTGATTGTATCCCAGATATATTTTGAGACTATAGCTGTCAGGATTTCCTAATGGATTGAACTTGGAGTGAGAAGTGAGGATTCAGGAGGATTCCTAAGGTTTTTGGTCTGAACAACTGGAACTGCTGTTTGCAGGGATGTTGGAGACTCGGGGACAGTTTTGTGAACATGTGACCACTGAAATACTGTTTGGACGTCCAAGTGGAGGTTTGGACTAAGCACTGGAAGATATGAGTCTGGGAATCTGACTGGGCTGGAAGAGACATTTGTTATGGATTTCTTTAGATTTTATCATATTTGGGATTGCTTAGCTTCTTGAATCTGTATATTTATACCTTTCATCATCTTTGGGATATTTCAAAAAACCTTCCTTCCTTCCTTCCTTTTCCAGCTTTATTGAGGTATCATTGACAAATAAGATTGTATGTGTTTTTTTTAATGTTTATTTATTTATTTTGAGAGAGAGCACAAGCAGGGGGAGGGACAGAGAGAGGAAATCCCAAGCAGGCTCTCGTGACTGTGAGATCATGACCTGAGCCAAAATCATGAGTTGGATGGTTAACTGACGGAACTACCCAGACATTCCAATAAAATTGTATGTGTTTTAAAGTGTAGAATGTGATGATTTGATAACCATATACTTTGTGAAATGATTACCATGATGAAGTTAATTAACCCATTCATCACCACACATATTTTTTTGTCTATGTGTGTATTGAGAACACTTAAGATCTGCTCTTTTAATAAATTTCAGATATACAATACCATATTATTAACTGTAGATACCATGTTGTACATTAGATTCTTTAGTTCTGGGAACTAAGACTCATATACTTTGAACAACATCTTCTGACTTCTCCCTTCCCTCAGCCCTCGTAACCACCATTCTACTCTCTGTTTCTATGAGTTCAACTTCTCTCTTTTGGGGATTCTGATGATATTAATGTTAGATCTTTCATTATTGTTCCATAGGTCCCTGAAGCTGTGTTCATTTATTTTTTCAGTTGATTTTCTCTCTTGTTTTTCAGATTACGTCATTGTATTGCTCTACCTTCAAATGCCCTGATTCCATCCTCTTTCATATTTATTCTCCTATCTAGCCCATTTAGTGAGTTTTTAGTTTTAGTTATTGTATTTTTTCAGTTATATAATTTCCATTCAGTTTTTTTTTTTTAATGTCCTTTATTCCTTGGCTTAGGTTTTAGTAAAACCTTGGTTGGTGAGCATAATTCATTATGGAAGCATGATTGTAATCCATAATCCCAAGTACTTGTATATCAAGGCACATTTCAAGAACTATTGGCTCAGTTGTGATCATGTGACATTTGGCATCACATACTACTCGTATGTCACGACATTACTTGTTTATCAAGTTAAGATGTATTAGAAATATTTGTTCTTCTTGAGGAACACTCGCAAAACAAGTTACTCACAATCCAACATTTTACTGTCTTTTCATTTCAAGAATATTTGTACTTTCTCACTGAAGCATTTTTATGATTGCTACTTTAAAGTTTTTGTTGGATAGTTCCATCATCTGTTTTGTCATCACATATTGGGGTCTTTTGATTGTTTTTTTCTCATTCAAGTTGTTATTTTCCCCTGGTTTTTGGTATGATGAGTGATTTTCAGTTGTATTTTGGGCATTTTAGATATTATATTAGAAGACTGAATCTGGAGCACTTGGCTGTTTCAGTTACTTAAGCATCTGACTCTTGATTTTGGCTTAGGTTGTGATCTCATGGTTGTGATATTGAGCCCTGTGTCAGGCTCTGCACTGAGCATGGAGCCTGCTTCAAATTGTCTCTCTCTCTCTTTCTGTGTGTATGTGTGTGTGTATGTGTGTCCCTCCCCTGCTCATGCTCTCTCCTGCTCTCTCAAAATTAATAAAATCTTAAAAAAAAAAAGGAGACTCTGAATCCTGTTTAAATCTCCTATCTTAGCAGATGGTCACCTTATTTAGGTTTAATATGGAGGTCCTGACCTGTTTTTACAGGCTGTGGTTCCACTGACAATTTGTTTTTGAGAGCTGGTGCATACTGTTCTAGTCTGCTTTATTCATCTGGTGCCTGGCTCACGCTTGATCCCTAATAGGGCTGCCTGTGGAGCCAGAATGAACTTCTCCTGATCCAGTAACACCTAGTAGGGGTTGAGACACACTGACCTTCAGGGCAGAGAGTGCTTCCCCAGTGCACTGTCCAAGGCTGCCTGGCGCTAAAATAGACATTTGGAAATTGACGGCATATGTATGGTGTTAACCTGTGAAACAGCATGAGAATGAGAAGAGGAGAGGATCTAGCGCTGAGCCCTGGGGTGCTCCAAGATTAAGAAGTCCTGGAAAAGGGAAGTAACCAGTAGATAAGACTGGTATGGAATGACGGATGGGAGGACAACCAAGAAAGTGTGGTGTCCTAAAGCCAGATGAAGAAAGTATGTTAAAAATGAGGGAGTCTTAACAAATTATAGCAGAGAACTTCCCCGACCTGGGGAAGGAAGTAAATGTGGAAATACAAGAGGCTCAGAGGACTCCCCTCAGACGTAACTTGAACCGATCTTCTGCACGACATATCATAGTAAAAATGGCAAAATACAAGGACCAAGA